GAATTCAAGTTGAAACTAATCTGCTATCAAAAGTAAAAATGCTCAACAAAAATAAGCCCTTTATTCAATCTTTGTTTTGAACCAACAAAGAACATTTATAGCCCTGAAATTTATTATATATTGAATCTGAAGATCAATTGAAAGGGGCTATAGAACTCTCAAAGATTTATAAAAATGTCACAAGTGAAATTTTTGTACTTAAAAATGAAAACAGAGTGACTTAAGTTTAGTAATAGCTCTCCCTTCCCGCCTTTTTCCAATGCTTTGAAAAAAAAAAAAAAAAAAAAAAAAAAAAATTACGAGCAACATTTCAGTATGGTTAGGGAATGTTTTCACTAAATGTAAAAAATGACGAATAAAAAAGATAAATATATATAATTAGCGTTTAGAAATATTCAAAATTAGAGAGAGAAAAAAAAAAAATTTTTTTAGAACAACTTAAAGTCAGTTGAAAAATTTATAATAAAAAACTGTTTCAGTTCAGTTTTTATAAAAAATAAAAAATCTCTTGAATGTTTCTAGGGTTGATTATTAATTTCTTGTCTAAGTAAACCAACAAAGCAAAGAAATTATTTCATCCCTGCAAAATACATGAAAACACCATGTAACAATGGTTATATGGAAGGGTACTAAAGAAAGTATGTTTTTGCGAGTATGTTGTTTTTTTTGTTTTTTTTTAAAATACCAAACAGCAAATTTGAAGTAAAATACCTGCTTATAAAAAGCATCAATATCATATAGTAACAAGAATAAGATTATTTTCTGACCAAATATTTAGCAAACACTGTCATGTGTTAAAAAAAAATAAACAAGACAAGGTAGGTGGGTTCTTGATTCCAAGTTTAAAAGGCTCAAAATTATTTTGCTCAGTTCATGGTCAGAGCCTGTTAAAATTACTCTTTGACTACAGTTGACATTATAAGCAAAGCAAAAAAAAAAAAAAAAAAAAAAGTCAATTTTGAGTTGAAGTGTTTTGTGCCTAAGCTATACCAGGTCGGTGAATTTAGTTATCAATAGTTTAACTTGATAATTATAAGATTGTTTATTAAATATATATATATATATATATATATATATATATATATATATATATATATATATATATATATATAAAAATATAAAAATAAAATATATTAATAAATATGAAAGGAAATATTAAAAAAAAAAAAAGGTCATTATTTCTGATATAGATTTAACCTATAAAAGGGTTGTTACAAATCATTTTAGAAAATCTGATAAAACAAAAAAATTACAATTAAAAGCAAAAAATTTCACAAAAGTTGAGATATATATATATTTCAGATTTATTAAGTGTATAAAATTAAAAAAAAAAAAAAAAAAAAAAATGTCTTAAATTAGAAAAGACCAATATTCTTCTATATGGAAATATTTTCAATATGAAATATAAATCGATATTTTTAATTTAAAAAATAAATTGTTGAAAAAAAAAAAAAAAAAAAAAAAAAAAACCAATATTATATACAAACACGACTCCAATCTTGTAAAAGGAAAGTAAAAAAATGTCTTAAAAGCAAAATTAAAATTTCAGTCTTTGAATTTTGATCCAAATAAAATGTGAAAAGTGCATATGAGAGAGAGTTATGAAGTGAAAAATAAAGGAGGATTTAAGGAAAAGAAGCAAAGTACAGTTAAAAGAAGAATGGACATTATTAATATGAAAATATATACAAGAGGGTGTAACTCCATACAGAAAATGAACAGAAAAATATAAGTTGGAGTAAGAGAAAGCATTTTTGAAGTCTCTGCCATGGGAGAACAACATGAAGTCAGAAAATATGAAAATAGTAAAGAATTGCATTTTAGGGAGGATCTTATAAAAAGTCTCAAGCAATAATAGAAATAAATTTATGAATTATATTAATTCAAAATTTTGGGAACAAAAAAAAATATGCTCAAGTATACACCTTACATTAAAAAATATATATAAAAAAAAAAGAAAAACAAGCATAGTAAAAATGTATAACATTTGGACATGTATGTGAAATGGGAAAAAAAATAATGGCCAATAAAAGTGCTATCAGAACAAGATCTATAATCTTTGTAATCTATCATTATATTATCATTATATTTTTTATTTCATAGTAAAGTTTGCGTATTAATTTACACTAATGTAATGAATGTAACAAATAAAGGGATGAGTTTAAAAAAAAATATCAAATTTGAGCAGATATTTCCAATATTTGGCCATTATTTTATCCAGGCTAGATGCACATTTTATAAAAATATTTTTAATGAACTTAGATTTGTGGCAAATTGTTGTAGCTACAAATATGTACAAAAAATAATTATTCAATGTTTGAAAAAAAAAAAAAAAAAAAAAAAAAAAAAAAAAGAGCATAAGGAAGGTTAAAAAAAAAAAGAAAAAAGCATAAGGTAAAAAAGAAGAGAGGGGAGGAAGGTAAAAAAGAGAGGAGGAAAAAAACAAACAAAAAACCCCAAAGAAAGCTTGTTTCTTCAGAAATTGCTGACAAAAATGGTTGCTAACAACTGGATCAGCCCATTTCAGCAATAGAACTAAGCTAATAATATGAAGCAATTAAAGTGGTTGTCAATATCACCAAATATTGAGCACTCTCACCACTACCATGATATTACTTCCTACCAGTATAATTTTGAGGTTAGCCTCATTCTGGAATCAGGTCATGGTTGATTATGAACAGGAGTAAGTGAGAGAAAAAGAGATTCTAGTCATTTGTGTCAACAGTTACTTGGTACAACAGAAAGACCAAGATACCAATATATATAATAATTGGCCAGTCAGGATTCATCTAATATGATATAGGTGACAAGCAAAACTGCAGATACAACACAATGACAATTTAAACTCTTCACTCATACTTCAGTGAACAGAGAAGAGGCTTGTTATCAAGATGGAGAAAGTTTTCTATAAACATTTTTCAATTATTTGTTTATACGAAAACTATCAGCACAAGTATATATACAACTTCTAGAACCCTGTTTATTGCGAGTATAAAATCCTTAAACAAAGTATATTCATGTACAAAATTAACAAAGGAAAAATGGTTACTCTTTAGTACTTATATTCAAGAGAAATTAACAATTAATGAATATTATTGAAATAAAACTATATTAAAAGAAAAACAAAAAATAAAAGAAAAACAAAAATTGTCATTTTACAATATTTGTTAGGAGCCTTTTTAAACACCAACATTTAACAAATAACAATCACTGATGAAGTGATTAAAAAGGATAATGCAACAGGGCTTGATCATATAGGCTCAAGGTAATACATTCAAAGGAATGTTTTGTTTTTTTTCCCCCCACAGGGTCAAGTAAAAGTAAAGCACATAAGTTATATGGCTTTTACCACGAAAAGGCATAAGTAGCAATGAATGGGGTGTTAAAACATTTCTGCTGCGCTTCCAGTTCATCAGGCAAAATGAGCTCTTGAAAAAAAGAAATAAAACCAGATCATCCTCAATTCAAACTTATCTCTCAAGCCAACATTTTAAATAAACTGAGAGTTGTAATCTTTCTGCACTTTCAAGATGAAGATTGCTAGCCCATCTGCTAAACTGAAATTATTAAGAGCCTTTCTTCAAAGCACAAGCATTTAATAAATAATGAACACCGATAATGAGTGATGATGGAATTAATAATGCTAAGTTTGGAACACTAAAAAAAAAATGTGATGTTAGTGCACCTAGTGAAAACCGAATGGAGACAGGAGTCCCCCCCCCACATACACCCACAAAGTCAATCATACCTTACCAAAATTTCAAGTCTCATTTGAACAAGATATATCTTACAAGCAGGCACATAAATACTAAAGAAAGAAAAAAAATGAATACATTTCAAACTCTTAACCAAAAAGACAATATTAAAGTTTTTATGTATATACAAATATACCCAAACAACAGAGGAGGTGGAAGAGCAAAGATACAAGGATAAGAAAAAATATTAATCACTGTAAAGTAGTGAATTGGTTAACACATATCTGTTTGTCCTCAATCAAGTTCTAAAGAGTGAGGAGCAAAATATTAATTCCCAACTGCTTTTGTTTTTCTTTATTTTATTTACATTTTTATTTGTTTTTATCCATGCTCTTCCTTCTCTTGTTTATATATATATATATATATATATATATATATCGCCATAAAATTTTGTAAGCCCCTCTCTACCTATTTAAATATTAAGTTACTTATCAAGTTTAACAGGACCACAAGAGTAGGAAATACAATGAGGATAGGTACCTTGATATTTACTAAGCCCAGCCAAGTACAAAAGCCATAAGTCTTGGACACTTGGGTTTAAACTCACTGCAGCAGTAACAGGCTAATCTTGCAAAATAATTTTTTAACTACTGCATCATAGTAGAACACAACAGGTGCACAGCAGGACCTTTGTATTTCCTAAATTTAGTTTAAACTTGGAATAAGGTCACAACAGTGGCTCACCAAGTACAAATCAAACTCACTGTCATAATACACAGACTGTGAGACTCGCTTGCTGATGATTGGTTCATTGCAAGGTGACTTATTTGTGTACACATTTCACATGCTAAATGTTAACAGCTATTACAGGACAGAGGTGGTAAAAGCAGCCCTGCAATGTTCAGATGATACTCAAATGTCAAAGACATTGCTGCTGACACCTTTCTGAATTGGAGAAAAAAAAAAAATTGCTATCATCTAGTGGCCTTTATTTCTTTTTACAATGTCAGAAATGTATTCATGCATCTTCCTCACTCACACACACCATTTAATGTTTGCATCTGCTCATTATGCATTGCACAATGGTAATATAGATAAAAAAACAAAACACCTTAGAATAAAAAAAAAATTTTTTAAATTAAAAATATAAAAGGTAAAATTAAACTTAAAAATGTAAATAATCACACGATTAAAAAATTAAATATTTTTTACTGTAGCAATTATTAACTTTCGTTTTGTTTGTTTTTTAAACTGAAAAGAAACAAAAAGTTCTTTATCAGCTGTGTCAAATCCATCAATCATTACCTTTTTTTGACATGTTATTTTGTCTGGGTTGACGTTTAGTGACATGGTCAAAGATATCCCAGGCTGTGGACACAATATGGTCTGCATGAGGAGCCAGATCATCCATAGAGCCAACACCACTCAAAACCCCAATACTGGCTTGAACCTGGGCCTCCTTTCCACCATGAAGTTTACTTGGGGAGTCACTTATCACAACTGTGTCTGCTGGATCAACTTTCAATTCATTACAGATTAGTTTAACAGCATTAAACTCTGTACGAGTATCATCCCCGCACACCATCATGTCTACATACTTCATGAGGTTATATCTGTTGAAGATCTTAAATAACTCTTCGCGACAGTCTTGAGAAGTAATGGCTATTTTAACATTATTTTGCTTCAGGTTCTCAAAGAGTGACTGGATGTCCCCAAGCACCTTGAGGTCACCATAGAGAGCTCCTTTGCAATCCTTCCACGCTTGGTTGACAATTACCAAGGACTCCTCGTAACCAAGACCCTCCTCACGTAGGAGTACTCGCAGGGCCTCTTTGACATCAATCTTCGGTCGGTCGGTCAGAAGACCATGTTGGATCGTGAATGATACTTGGCACACACCCAGAAGGGCAAACACTTTATCAGTGAGACTCAGGTGACTCAGTTCCTCCAGCCTGTGGGGAAGAATAAAAATGACAGAACAACAACAAAGAGATATTGGGATGGGTGGGGAGGGAGTGGCAGCATGGTACTTAACTACTTTAGCTTGTTAACCATTACTCTTTTGTTGATTGCTGGCAACCTAGTGAAAGAAACTTATGATGTAAAAAGATAGATCAGCTTTAAGAATTTTTTCTTTTACAGGACATCAGTTCTCTATAAATTTTTTTTCTTGGAAAACATGAAAGGATTGTTTCCCCAATTATCTTTTCCAGTTTTAAATTCAGATTTATATTTCTTCTAGACTGGCTGTCTTAAAGCTATAGACTCCATATTTTACTATTGATAAGGGCAAAGAGATGAATCAATGCCATTAAGGACAATAGTACAAAATGACCACAACAGTTTTGGCAGGAATCTGAACTGCTTACAGAAACCATTTTGCTATGCCCTTAACCACTGCACCACTTGCATGCTGTTTTTGTCCTTGTAATTTATTTTAATTCAAAGCAAGAACATAAGTTATAGCAAAAGAAATTTAAAGACTCTGGAACAGGGTTTCCCAACAGGGGTAATATAACTCATCAGCAGGCAATTACTGTTAGGTGGGCAATGAGCAACTGAACAGAAAATGGTCATTGATTGGAAATTTTAGTGGGTGATATAGGATTTTGAAGGTCTATATTTCTAAGATGAGGTAATGTACACTATTCAGACTATTGTTCAAATCTTTGTCATATTTATCACGTTTCGGCCGTTGTATGCTCCGGCCTTCTTCAGGTGGTTGGAATGTCCTTAAGCACACATGACACAGTGGATAAAGGCGTTAGTTAGATCCAGTGATAGGACCCAAAGAGTTGTAAGTTCAATACCTGGTTAAGGCAGTGGAGAACTTGGAGAGGTGAATTAACAGGAGATAACTGATAACTGACATCCATTAGACATGGCACGTGGAACTAGAACAGTCTACCCCAGCAAGTGAAATAAAAGGTTCAGTTCAACATTCTAACCACCTGAAGAAAGCCGGAGTGTACAACGGCTGAAACACGATAAATATGGCGAAGATGAGGACAATAGTCCAAATAAAGTAAATAGTATAGGATTTTGAGTATTTAAAAAAAAAAAAAAAAAAAAAAAAAAAAAAATTTTAACATACTACCCACCAAAAAATATTCAAAGATATGTGAAGAACCTGTATAAGTAAAAGAACCAAAACAGGACGTTAAACGGGAATAATTGTCGTATTCCTAGAGAAGATATATCCCCAGAAACAGAATATTTTGATATTTTCTATAGCTTGAGGAAGGTCATTAACATTCAAATTATTTATCAGATATAAATCATAAGCGAAGATCAAGAACAACTTTGCCAATAAAATCAAGTAATATAAGGATAATTTAATATATAAAATTGTTATGTTATTTTATCATATTGGCAATCTCAAATTTATCAAGACAGGAAAAGTACCTGTCAAAACAATTTATCTGCCACTGTAGGCGTTTGAATATTTACTATAGGAGGTGGGTGGTGGAAAAATTTTTCAATGTGAAATTGGGCAATGACACCAAAAAGACTCTAGAGCAGGAGTTTCCAACCTAAGTTTATTTGGAGAAATGATAGAGTTTTGGATTTAAAAATAAAATAAGTCATCCTTGCTATATACTCCATTACTTCTTACCCCTGTCTCATAATTGTTTAGTAGACTTGCATACAGTAAATATAACAATTACTGTATATTTTCACATGTAAGACAACCTTTAAATCCCAAAAGTCACCCATAAAAATTGAGGGTTCACCTTATACTACAATTCTATAAAAATAAATAAAAACCCTTAAATTCTGATTGCAGTTTGTAGGTTAACCTTGGGCTCGGTCCAATAACCAATAATGTACACGAAAAGATTCACATTATCAAATAAACTGATAATAAAAGTAATAAAACCCGTTTTTAACTTATATATTACTGGCATAGCTTCATAAGTTACCTATTCAAACAATAATTCCATAATCAATAAAATCAACTTGTATCCATGCAAACTCAGCTGACTAATTGCAAACATTGAGTTATGATTGTGTTCACAGCAACATTTATCTTTCACTAAACTTTCAATAATTACCATGGTAGTGTTAATTATGGCAGTAATAACATTTAGGATAACATAATATTCATTTCTCATTAAAAATACACTACTGTTATTAGCTGTATTTTTCCAATTGTTGACGAAGTATAAATAAATGGTTGTTAGTACACCAGGCTGTAACTGTTTAGATACAGAGGAAGAAGAATCAGAATCTGCAACAGATCAAATGATGAAATGTAAACGAAACAATGGTTTCCCTTTTATGGGATGTATGTAGGAAAAAACATGATATAGAATTGGTTTAGTCATTTCATTAATTTTGAATTTCTAAGGATACAGTAAGTAATGTTTCCAAAAACATCTTTATATAATCAATAAGCAGGTGTCTTATACAACAGGTATGGGATAAATTCATGAAAATTTGCTATAAATTTTTTTTTACTTAGTCTTATCTAAAGGTTGCCTTATACATGGAAATATACGGTATTATGAGACATAGGTGGTAATATATTGCCACTGGAATTAGGTAATTAATATTCAGAAATTAACTATGAAGTAATATGATTTAGAATCCCCAACAGGTAAGGAAGGGTCCCAATAAGAAAAGATCATTATTAAAAAGGGAAAAAGAAGTAAATAAAACATGGCAGTTATAAAGCAAAAAAAAAAAAAAAAAAAAAAAAATAATGTCTTTATTTAGATAAAACATGGCAAGTAAGTTAGATTTTTAAGAAATTTTTACAAACCTTAAAATCATCAATTTAAAATTTAATAAAGCCTTTTTTGTACCAGTAACGGGAAAAATGTTAATTTTTTTTTTTTTTTGCATAGATTATTTATTGATCACATCTTTGTCTGGCACAAGGATAAAACAGAATACACAATGAAAGTCAACATAGGTATCTTCATTAAGCTGAGCACAGCAGAAAAGCACAGGTTTCAGGAATCCAATAAGGACCCAAGTCACTGCACTTATCAGGTGACCTTGTTAACCATCATACTAGAAGATGTATATACATTTATCAAAGTTATTTACTAACTTCAACTTAGCATGAAGCATCCACTAATAATCAATCTTGCTAAACAAATTGATCTAAAAGACAAAATGACTAAATATGGCACTTCAGTAGGCATCCTAAATATTTACATATTTTCCATCACATAATGACAATCGTGGAACAGTAATGAGGAAGAATCATTACATTAGTAAGCAGTAAGATAAACTCCTAAATCATCAAGTTGTGGTCAGCACAGTTTTTTTTTTAAAATTAAAACACGATATTATAACAATTATTGGTAAAGAAAGTGAAATAAGTAAGCTGAGTTCAGGTCCCAGCCAATTCTATTGTACTCTCTTTTCCACACAAATGCTCTTGTGAAAGGCATGAGCCCATCACTTTCTCTAACCTTGGCTGTGGCAGCAAGTCTAGAACTACTTCAAAGTTCAAAACTAGAGAAAAGTTAGCTGGAAACCACTCCACTTTCTCATGTCATCATGGGAATATACAAAAAAAAAAAAAAAAAAAAAAAAATCTGTGGAGGGGGCCACAATCACTTAAATTCCTTCAGGAGGTAAGAAGGATAAGCTGGGCTTAGTCTGGTACATATAACAGTTGTGCAGCCAGTGAAATTTGAATTTCATCATCTGGAAGTTAGTCTGCAAGATGAGCTGGCTAACCCATGTGCAGGAGATGAGCAACACAAAAATTAATTTGCATAAAATACAAATGACAAGATTCTATCATGGCAGTTAAATTGCTCAAATGGGAATGAATTTATTGCCATTCAGGTTCAAATTTGTTGCTAAAATAATTTTCTATTTTTTGTAAAATTCTTCATTTTGGAAAAAAAAAAAAAAAAAAAAAAAAAGATACAAAAATAAATTATGAAACCTTTTTACAGCAAAGATTTACACACAACTTCAAAAAGTATAAAGTGAACAAAAAATACACACTTACTTGGTAGCAATCTCTTGCGCCCACTTGATCCAGCTAGACTTCGGACAAAGTAAAGTTCCATGCAAGTCAAAAACAACCAGGTTAACTTTCTGAACCAAAAGATCATCATTAGTGGTTGGTTCCTCACCCTGATGCTTTTCAATTAGTACCCGTTCATCAGCAGAGTAAACATAACAGTCCTTCCATTCCTCATTAGGCATTATAAGCGGTAAAAGGTCCTGTACATTCTTGATAAGATGGTCAGCATCGGACTGAAGATCTGTCTTACCCCCAACACCACTTAAGACTCCAACACTGAGTCCTAGTTTAGCAGCTTTACCCATCATCACATCTACTTTTGTGTCCCCCACCATAACAGCCTCTGAAGGGGGAACACCCAATTTATCACAGATCATTAGTGCATTGTGTGGAGAGGGTTTGGGCTGAGAGGAGTTGTCATCTCCACAGACAATAAGGTCTACGTCTTTTGCTAAGTTGAACTCATTGAGCAATTCCTCAGTTGGTTTGCGGCAATCTGCTGTGCAAATGGCCACTTTTATGGACTTCTGTTTCAAAATTTTAAACAGAATCTGCAAGTCAGCCAATGAGCGCAAAGTTGATGGGTTCTTGTTGTCTCCATATTCTACATTGTCAAATACCATTTTCTGGGCTTTGTCTTTACTAATGCCCTCAGCAACCAATAACTTTATCAACTCCTGCTTTATGATAGGGCCAGTTGATTCAGCTAGCAAACCAGGGATCACTTTGTTTGACATAGTGCAGTACCCAAGCATGTCATAGATTTTCTTCTCCAAGGGAAGCCCAGTGACTTTGGACAACCTGTAAAAAAGGTAAGAGAAAAAAGATTTTACTCACAAAGTATTGCAATTCTCAAAATAACTGTCTTATGGAATCCACGAAAGCAAAAATCTTGCCATTATTTGCTAGAAGCTCAAGAAAACATAAAAAAAAAAAAAAAAAAAAAAAAAAAAAAAAAAAAACAACACAAGTTACAAGATCAAATGATAAAAGCAATCCTGGAAAGAAGTACATCAATACATCTCCCTTTAATGTCAATTATTTAAAAATTGTTCAATTAAATAAGATATATGCAAAAAGGCTTTGGAATGCTTACATGCACACTTGAACCAAGCTAATTTTTTTTTTTTTTATGTGAACATTCAGTCATTGAAAGTATTTTACAAGTTGCTAAAAGTTTTGTAAAACCATAGACAGTACAATGATTTTATATTATCAATATAAAACCCCTTTTTAAAAAGAAATACAATTAAGAAAAAAAAATAAAAAATAAAAATAAAAAGCAAGAACAAATGACTTCATTTGGAATCTAATAATTGCCGGTCATTCTATCTAGCAAATAAATCATATACTTACTTTTCAGCTAACTTCTTTGCCCATGGAACCCACATGGACTGGAAACAGATTAAGGTGCCATCTTTATCAAAAATTACAAGACCCATTTTCTTTTCTTTCTTGGGTAATCTTGGTTTGGGGTTGAGTAGATTCTGAGGGAGAGAGCAGACTGCAGAAACATACAGATTGCGTGCAGCTTGTTCTGGGAAAAAAAAAAATAAAAATAAAATAAATAATTTAGGCGAAACAGGCAAAAATCATTGAAATAAATACTGTGGACTTTACTAGATTACATGACCATGCTTTAACTTACTTTATCTTAAGAAAATATAGAAACACTGACATTTTCCCCACTAGATAATAAAAAAAAAAAAAAAAAAAAGAAAAAAAAGAAAGGAAGCACTTTAAATATGGATCTGCAAACATTTTTAAAAGTCTGACAGATTTGGAAAATTTTCATCCCAAGAAAAACCATGGAGATGTATTAACACACACTCACAAGTAAAATGTTTGTCACTTAGTTGACTGATGTTACCTTCAGCATCTTGACTCCAGTGTTGCATAGACAGACCTACCTGTCCACTCATCAAGATGTTTTCAGCAATTGGCTAGTTATATTTCTTTTTTTTTTATATGCACCTAGCATTGGTGTAATTATTTTTCATTTCATAGTGTGTGCACCCCACCAAGCCCATTCACCCATTTGCATGGATCTGCGTACATGTAGAATGTACGCATTTGTCCCTTTTGTTGCTACTCTATACTTTACACTGACTCCTTAACTTTTTCTATCTTTCCTCCGTCAATTGTTGCCGTTTGGTTTCCGGTTTTTCTAGATAGGTTGTCTCTTGTAAGTTTTGTTAACTGAAGAGAGACTTGAAGTGAATCCAAGCCTCACTCAACTAAAAACTGCTAGAATCACTGACAAAGACACATGATACATAAATAGTTTACAACACTAGTTTTTAATTTTTGAGCATTATAGTCTTAAGTTAGGAAAATTTTATTTCATTTTTTATATAAATAATTAATTTTAATGCTTACATGATAAAGTATATACAAGTTTTATTAAAAATGTCTAACAAGGTACTGCGGTCAAATTTTTTATTTTAAATTTTTTTTTTTTTTTTTAATTTAATTTTTCTCCTCATCTGTATGTCCAAGCACTTTCAGCTATACTTTTAGTAATTATAAAGAATTATTTTATTTTTACTTTTAGCTTAATGCATGGATTGAGTCATGTAGGTATCTAGAATTATGGGGATGTTTTATTTACCCAAACACAGTTGGCACATTGTGGCTGGGCCCATAGTTGATATTGGATGTTTCTTTTTTCTTTTGATATATATATATATATATATTATATATATATATATATGAAAGAACAGCAAGATATATAATCCAGTGTTCTTATTAATATTTTTTATTTTTACAAAACAGTGCTCAATGTAAATTTACAGAGCATAAATATTATAAATTAACTGGTTTAAAATGTTTTTTTTGCTACATTAACTATTTTCATTAACTAATTTTATTAATAAAAATGAACACGCTACCACCCCTTGTCTGAAGGACTGGATTTCTCTGTATCCTTGGAAACAGTGAATTGTGAATTTTCGTGTGTGTTTAAATCTCAGTAAATTTAAAAAAAAGTTAATCCAATATTCACTTGAAGATGAAATGGAACTAATGTTTTAATTCAAAAAAATTAAATTTGAAGTTTTTATTCATTTTGAAACATGGTTATTACTGTGAAAAAGGGAACCAGAATATATATTTTAAAAATTCAATTACAAAATTAAATTTGAGAGAAGTTTTAGAGAGAGAGATATCCAGAGAGAGAGAGAGAAACATGAGTTATTACTGTGAGAGAGAGAAAGAGAGATGTGAAAGAGAGAGAGATATAGATATATATATAAAAATAAATAGAGAGAGAGATATTGAGAGAGAGAGAGAGAGAGAGAGAGAGATATGAGAGAGAGAGAGAGATGAGAGAGAGAGAGAGAGAGATATGAGAGAGAGAGAGAGAGAGATATGAGAGAGAGAGAGAGATATATGAGAGAGATGAGAGAGAGAGAGAGAGAGAGAGAGAGAGAGAGAGAGAGAGATGAGAGAGAGAGAGAGAGAGAGAGATGAGAGATGAGAGAGAGAGAGAGAGAGAGAGAGAGAGAGAGAGAGAGAGAGAGAGAGAGAGAGAGAGATGAGAGAGGAGAGAGAGAGAGAGAGAGAGAGAGAGAGAGAGATAGGAGAGAGAGAGAGAGATATATGAGAGAGAGAGAGAGAGAGAAAAAAAGTGGTCCATGAATAAAGAAAAAAGTGGAGGACCACTGATCTAGAGGTTCTGAGAGAGAGAGAGAGAGAGATATGAGAGAGAGAGAGATATATGAGAGAGAGAGAGAGATATATGAGAGAGAGAGAGATATATGAGAGAGAGAGAGATATATGAGAGAGAGAGAGAGACAGACCTGAATTAGGACAACCTGTTAGCACAACACATCACATTTGGTTAGTTCAATTGAGAGCCGAGGAGATTTTCATATCCAGGACAACAAAGCTCTCTCCATGTTTCTGAAACTGCACTCACTCATGCAGTGTTGTCAAATACATTGTCCTGCTAGAAGATGTCACTGCTATCATAGACAACTGTAGCCGTGAAATGATAGTAAGGAAGATGGTAATTAATAAAATTACCTTTCATATGAATGATACAACCAAGCATTTTCCAGTGGAAGATTGCTGATATCATCAGACTGCACCCAGTGGCTTGTTTACCCACAGTAAACCATCCCCAGAATAATGGCACACATGCAAGTGTATGCTCTGTCATCAACTTTAATCAGAATAAATCAAGACTTATTGAACCAGGCAACATTCTAGCGATACAAATTGCGGGTCTGATGGTAGCCTTCACTGGAGCTTATGATCATATCAAACTTAAGCACCAGTTCTCATATGGTCACCAAAGTTAAGCAATGTCAAGTCTGGTCAGTACCTAGATGGGTGAACACTTGGGTAAACCAGGTGCTGTAAGCTTGGATGTGCAGGTAATAGACAGGAGCTCAGAATTGGAAATCAAAGTTTGAATTCTAGGCAGGTTCATTATGTATATGCAAATACTCTTGGGAAAGGTATGAATCCACTTTTTCTTCCTCCAGCTATGGGTAAATTGGTAAGATTCATCTCAGTAAAATCATTATTTCCCCCAAAATTCTTACAATCAAGAAATATTTGCTGGTTGCAAAGGCTGATAAGCCATTAAAAAAAAAAACTAAAAAAACAACACATACACACAACCAACCAATCAATCACACACTCACTGAACTACGCAGCCTCCTCTCCACACACACACAAAAATAACCTATGTGCTGTCTGTTGGGATATTATGAAAGTAGTTATTTGCATTCACAAAACCTTCCAAATGTCTTCGCAGTACAGGAGAGAAATTAATGCGGAATAAGAATAACTATTTTGCTTTAGTTACTCTAAGAAGGCTAGTCTCAAAATGGAGTTGTCAAACTCTTCAAGGAGTTGCTAAATTGATACCATTCAAGTTCCTAAGTAATCTTGAAGTTGTTGACACTTGGTGCTTAAGTTTCGCCATTAGTGAAACTAGAGAATTTCTCATTCTTTGGCTTCCTGAGTGAAAGTAACAAAATTGACTGTCAAGAAGGACTCTTACCCTCTGCTTAAAAAAAAAAAAAAAAAAAAAAAAAAAAAAAAAAAAAAAGAAGAGGTAATTTTTCCTATGCAAGTTTGCATAAATTGGAAATCAAAGTTCAAACTTTGAAATAGCTGCTTGCTATTTCTATTTTATTTCTTAAAAAAAAAAATCAATATAGTTTCATTCAAATCTGTCAAGGATCTGATAACTACAGGTGCAATATATTTATAGCAAAAAATAAATCCCTTAGTTTATTGCTACTGAGGCTTCAATATAAAACTATGAGCATGTGGCTTTTCGCTCCTGAGTAAGTTCTGATCGGCAAGTCTGTGAGGAATGCATACTTACATTGATCAAAATAACAAAACAAAAACTTGATGAGAAAAATTGCAGAGCTTACCTGAAGCAAAAAGTGTTTCTGGGATTGCAATATAAGATTCATGTCTAAATGGCTTGCGTTGACTATTTGATGAGATCCGGGTCTGAGATTTGCGTACACCACGCAATAATCTTGATAAGTGTAACATGATTGACTCAAAAGTAGACAGATACAGGAAAACGGGATAAAAGCTAGTGGTCAGTGGATAATCCTAAGATGAAGTTCTCTGAAAGACAAAAATAAAGCTTTGTTAAACCAATGATTATATAATAAAGAAATTTATTAATGTATTTGGTCTTTTTTTTTTTTTTTTTTGTGGTTATTCCAGAAGTTTAAAAATGCAAAAGATAAGGAAATACAAAATAAAAAGAAAATTTGTGAAGCTTTCAGAAATATATGCAAGTTCTATACAGAGTACATCCTGGCATTTTAAAGTATCTTGAGAACTTGTTCCATGTTTGTGATGTTTTAACCAATCAGAGGGAGCCTGCATGCATAAACATTCCCCTGTGCAGTTGGCAGTGAAATGCTACTGAATGAACTTCAGTACCGTGTCATTGTTATATGCAATGAGTGAACAAGTACTTTCTTGACATCTGGTTGCCACCAACCTAAGTCCAGATGAAGGAGAATGCAATGAAGCAGCTGATGGTGATCCCAAAAAGGATCTCAAACTTTTTAATTTAGGGAGGGGAAAAAAAATTGGCACCTTAATTTGGAATGTAAGGTAAGTATTTTGAATGGGACTAAGACAATTGTTTTAAGTGGTACTTTTTTGTTAATAAATGACTGGATACTAACTGGACAGACCTCATGTTTTAGTGTTATTAAAATTGGCTCCGTATTTGCCTGGGACACTAATGGGGGTTTCAGTGACGTAAGAAATGTCAAATCATCCTTTCACAGTAAAAAAAACAAAACAACATTAAATGAAATTTAATGACCCAATATTCATTTACACTTTGCATTCAGAGTACATTTTTATTCAAGCCCTATTAAAAAAAAAAAAAAAAAAAAAAAAAAAAAACACACGCACACAAACACTAGAAGGCAGTGATGATAGAACTGTAAGAAATGGGTCTCTCACTGGTTAAAGAACAAGAAAAGTTTCAGTTTGGAGAGGTATGATTGCAGTTTACCTTATATCCCAGTCTAGGGGAAGACAACATTTTTTTTTTTTTTTTGTTATCTTAATTGTTGCTGAAGGGTAACTAGTCATTATTAGATAAACTAGGATGATAAAATATATATATATATATATATATATATATATATATATATATTCCCAGTAATGATGATAATCAATTAGCAGCACTATATAAAACAAAACAAGTTCTTCAAATTTCTAAGAAGCAGTCAATTCTTTTGACTAGTATTTATTTTATCTTGTCTCAGCTGCATTTTATTAACTGTTAGGCTGTTTTTCAACAGTCCGTATAGATTAGAGAATAAAATATGGCTATATTGTTATACTTGTGAAGATTCCACACAAGAGTTTATTATCAAACAACAAATTGATTACCTATAAATCAAATGAAATTATAGATATATGAATAAAAATGACAATAGGAAAACTAGTAATTGCTGATGCGTTTCATCCAATGTGGACTTTATCAAAGCAAAATACAAAATGAATTTAGTTGAACAAAGTTATTTTCAGTTAACAATATGAAAATAGCATTTCTCTACATTCCAGTTGCTAGGAATATCCTGTTTTTTGTTTTTCTTAATTACCTTGTTCAATTAAATTCATATTTTGCTTTGATAAAGTCCACATCGGACGAAACATGTCAGCAATTACTAGTTTTCCTATTGTCATTTTTATTCATAAATATTGTCTTCTCTGTTTAATTGGAGAAAAATTTTCATTATATATATATATATATATATATATATAATAATTGATTTAAAATATGTTTTTTTTTTTTTTTCGCTACACAGTTCTAACCATGTTTCAAAAATGGAAGCTAAAAGAACACCGGATTATATATCTTACTGTTCTTTCTTTTTATTTATATACATATATAAAGGTACAATAATGTTGGGCCTTAAGACTGGCGTTAGTTTAACAATTAATAGACAACATGTCGTATGCAGGTTAGTCAATATACCTAATAATTGTGGTGAGGGTGGGTAGTATTTATTTTATACATAAAATTCCTAATTGCCAAAATTAAGGTTTTGAAATACTGATTTGGGAGGACTTGTTCAGGCCAAGAACATTTCACACACACTTTCCATTAATCATAACTTGATTATACAATGAAAATTTCAGATCACTAGCCAAGCTAAAAATGATAACAGGATACAGACATCATTGGGCACTTATTTGATGGTGCAAAGATTACAGACAGATAAGCACAATGGTTTTAACAAGAAATTTTATATCACTATACCATTTATGTGTGTGTAAAAAAAAAAAAAAAAAAAAAAAAAAATTATATAACAACAACAACTACGAAAATGGCTAAAGGAGGAGCCAAAAGCGCTTGGGACAATCAATGATATCGACAGTTCTTGTATTTGCTCACTCCCAAACAGAAAAATGTAAAAACACTGGAAAAAACTATAAAGAAAAAAAAATTCCCTTGTCATTCATATTTACAAAACGTGTCTAAAAGAATATATATATATCTTTTAGTGAACAAATACAAAAACTGTCGATATCATTGATTGCCCCAAGCATTTTTGGCTCCTTCTTTAGCCATTTTCATAGTTGTTGTTAAAAGAAAAAAAAAGAAAAGATATTTATGTTGATCCCTATAGGTGCTACTGGTACCAAGTGACAGTATTATAGGCCACATGGTTAAGTTAATGACAACTTAACTAGTTACATAACCTGTCAATGAACCCTTTTGCAGAGTCAACAGTCATCTAGCAGACTGTCTACTAATAGTGTTGAATTCCTAGCTTTCATAAAGACATTCAAGTAGGAGAAGGAATACACTGATGTAACACCTGCAGCTTATTAGTAACTAATATAGACTTGGTCCTTTTGGAATATTGCTTTTGATGCAAAGTAACTAGGTTTGACCAAGTGACCCAGCTTTCACCACTATAAATATTTTCATATTAAAAAGGCATTGCATGATACTGTACAATCCTACTTGCTGATGCACTGACTGGACATAGCATAAGGATATATTTGTACACTCAATACATTTGTGCATACATTGTTACTGTATACCTACTTTTGCATATATATATATATATTAGTTACTCCATAGCTGGGCCTCTCTAGGTTACTATTTACCATACCTTAATACATTGTTGTAAAGCTGACCACACCCTAATATTGGGGAAAAGAAAAAAAAAAAAATCTTAATTTCAGAAGAAAGCAGGTTACCCTCCAAAAATGTAATCCAATATTGGTACAACAGTGCAAATTAGATACTTACATAACCTACGATAGCATTGGTGTTATATATCAATCAAAATCATCTTTAATTTATTGATAGTAATAATGGACAAGGATTTATTAATAATCTTTTCACTAGTGTCTTCATGTTTTGTTCTGTTTTTTTAACTCTCCAACTTCTCAAATTGTCATGCTATGGTCATTAATATCACCAGAGGGAAGGGTATTTCTTTTATAGTATTCTTAGAAAAGAAAGAACTTTGGAACAAGAGACTAGATTCTAAATTATCTGAGAATTAAATAAAATCACATTTCCTGTTATGTATAAACAGGACCAATTGTGTTTGATTAAAATAAAATTAAATCAACAAATGTAACAAATTTACCAAACTTAGTAGGAAAACTCTGAAAGTGTCGGGGGTAGAAGCTTAGGAATCTAAGTGACAATGACACATGTGGGATAACTTAAGTTGCACCCAAACAGGCATGAACACTTGCCAAAAGTAAGCAATCAAAATAAAATATTTAAAACTGCATTATTTTTTTTTCTTTCTTAAACAACACATTGCCTATTTCCTAAACAAAATGCACAAACATTTAAATGGAACCTGTATGTAAAATAGAGAAGGATATGAAAATGCCTACAACTGGTAAAACTAAAAAAAAAAAAAAAAAAAAAATGGAAATTAAGCTGGTAACGGATATAGGCAATGTTTTCTCAAAGTAAATGGCTGCATTGGCAAGATGATAATTGTCAATTTTGCTGTGTGCAGGAAAAAAAAAGATAATTTGTGAGAAAGAGGATTTTTCCACACAGACACCATTACAAATGATCATATGTATACTGCCACATGTTCAATACTCATGCACACAAGACAAATGGGTATGATACGTTAAACAAATACATCAGAATTATCATAAGGATTGTATTGACAGCAAAAATTGACTTACCCAGATATACATTCTGCACACACTATAAGGACTTCATGTAAAAAAAGACTAAAAAGGTAGACTAGTTAGTGTGTGATTCTTCAAATGAAATATATATATATATATGAGACAGAGAGTGCTGGATGCTTATTCCAAGCACATCTGACTGCTAAGACAACTAATCAATCCCTGCTGCAGATGCCTGCTCATGCATATTTGTATTTTTCCAACAGCCACAGAGCCTGCCTGTAGTGAGAGTGAGAGAAAAAAAAAATCTGGTGTGATCAATAATTTGAACCAGACTAATATGCTCAAAACTCATTACTGACAAAGCTAGAGTCAACCTATGATATGGTTTTTAAGCACTTTCCAACAATGTTGCATTCTGGGAATGCCTCCCCAAAACAATTTCATCAAGGAGTCACCTCCCTCACAATCCAACAAGATTAAGATCTGAACCCGGGTTTCATAGTCTGGAAAACAAACATTCTAATCACTCAGCCACACACTCATTTTTTCCAATCAACTGTACAGGAGAGTGCTTAAAAAAAAAAAAAAAAAAAAAAAAAAAAATTCAGCTTTACTAAGGACTTAAAAATTAAAATCCAAGTGGCTCAGATCCAGAACTTCTCAATATCCCCCTTTTTATACATACAACCACAAAAAATCTAAGAATAAAAGTTTAAAAAAATTTATGACTCCATGCCAAAGTCAAGATTGTAATATAGATTCCAGATTATATCCGCCCCATGATTGTTATTGCATGAAACTGAGTAGTGGATCTTGATATTATGTTAATAGGTAGCACAAACTGCCCTAGCTTATAGTGCAAACAGGTGTCAAAATGGTGAAATTTCCTTCCATTTTAACTGTTGATATCATTTTTTTTTTTTTTAGTTGGTCTATTTTGATAAAAATTTACAATTTACTTTTTTTTTTTTTTTATGTGATGATTTTTCACTCCACATCTCTAAATTATGCTTATAGCAATTTCCCATATATTTGAAGTTGACAATTTCATAGTGGTGTTTTTCAAATTAGTCACACTCAATTGTGTCCAAAAGAAAAAAAAAAAAAAAAAAAACCCCCCTTATAACTTTAATAATCACCTGGTTTGCTGACTCCACATCTTTGTGCCTATATAATTGGAGGCACATGTGAATCAAAAATGTATACTGCATTCATTTTGTGAAAAATAGTTGGGTCAAGCACATCAAAATCTGTATTGCTGACCAAGTGAATGAACACCATCAGCTGAATCCCATTTTAAATCGGACCCATTTAATTTATGGATATTACAGCTGAAATCTTTTTAGGTTTTCTTTAATGATGCATTTTAAAGCTGTATAAAGAAATTTTTTTTTTTTTATAAATTCAAGCTGACAGTTTGGACAAAATGAAACAATATTTTTTATTTGAAAAGATAACCTAAAGAAAGGTGAATTTCTAAAAAAGTAATTAAAAACAACATTGTCATTCTTGACAAATGAAGATAAATTTAAAAAACAATTAAATATGTGAGAATCCACCAAGAGGATAAGACATAACAGAATTTATTATCTGTGGGCATAATCTCAACAGTATCAAATGATACTTTTGATGATAAACACAAAGAATTATTAGACAAAATAGAAAAGGAAAGAAAGGGCTGGCTATTAGCTGTTAGAATCTATGGTTGTTAGCAACAACAATAACTCAAGGTACAAGTTCAGTATCAGGGATGTTAAAAAAAAAAAAAAAAAATAAAATATTTATATATAAAACAACAACATCAAACCAATCAGGTGCAAAAACATAACTATTTGGGCAGCATAGTAAGAAAAAGAAGAGGCTGAATGTGTGACAAACATCTAAAGGCACATAGGAATAGCAAAATGTGCCTTTTGGAAACCAAGCCAGATATTAAGGGATTGGAAAATGTCCTTAGATCAAAGAAGAATGTCGAACTGATGCTAATATCTAGACTCTTATGTATCGGTGAATGTTGGGCAATTTTCTCACAAAAGAAAAGACACGAACCAACAAAAATGCAAAATGAAATGTTGAGAATACTTATAAACACACCATGCGGTAACAGGAACTACAAACAGCTGAGATATATATATATATATATATATATATATATATATATCTATCTATATAAATAACCACACACACAAAACACAATTAGGAAAGAAAGGCTTGGAGAATTTAACATTAACAGGACACACTGAAGGCAAGACAGCAATTAACCAACTAAAGTTGGATTACATGGACAGCCAAACAAGTACCACATAGGCAACGGGGGGGGGGTATAAAGCAACAAGAATTACTCAAACCAACAAAGAGAGCCAGGAGTTTCTACAGTTTAAAGTGACATGCTACAATAGAGATTTAATCAGGCCAATAACCTCCTTTGGATTTTGTATGTTCTCAAATATTTTAGAGTGAAAAATCTTAGAAATATTGGTTTCAAATAAAAACAGTCTCTTTTGTAAGTATAATTTATACAAGTTATTTTGAGCACACCAATTTCTACAATTCCAAAACTCTTTTATAGGTGACAATGCCAATAGAATGTCAGCAGTTACAGGGAGTGAAATTGAAGGAGGAGAATATGGAGAGGATTGAGTAAAGGAGAAAAAAAAAAAGAAGAAAGGAACAGGGTTCAAGAAGACAGAAGATGGCGATTAACATTGCATTTTAATTTTCCAAGACTAGTTATCAGGGAAGCAAGAAATCAAAAAGGAGTTCCACAGTTGAGAAGTGTGAGGAAAAATAGTGTTTGAATCTATATAGTTCAACAGTAAAGACCTAGTTGACAGTCTTAGTAGCATGCTTAAATTCATGTAGTCTGGGCACCAAGAAAAAAAAAAATGTTAATCCAAGCAGTTACCATAAAAATATCTGTAGAATAGATAGAGAGAAGCCATGTTTCATTGGTGAGAAAGTAAATGGAGACAAGATGCATTACAGACGTCTCTAGATTTTGTCAAGAATCTCTAGATGCACAGCAGGAACATCAGATCAAATATGGCAACAGTATTCAATACACATATACAATACACAGAAGAATGATGTTATTAAAAAGTTTAGAATTTAATACAGACATTTAGAATAATACTTCAAATGGTTGAACCTCAGACATTTTGGATTATATTCAGGACTACAAATTCTACATTGTGATATACTGACTTAATATAATTGAAAAATCTCTTGAATGTAAGCAGGTTTAACTACTTAGAACATGACAATAAATAAAGAAAACTAAACTTAAAACTATACGAGAAAAAAAAAAAAAAAAAAAGATAAAAATTATCCAGAGTGACATGTGCAGTTCATGGGTAATTACTGCTCAGGACTTGAAACGTAAAAGCAAAACTAATAGTGTGAAAAAGGGAGAGAAAAATGTGTTATTGCCCCAGGCATCCAATCAAAGAATGAAATAAAAATTTAGTTTATACATAATTTGAATAAAGTGTTTATTTCAGATTTCACCCATTTTGACATACAGTGTAACCCGGATATAAGAGAGTTGTCGGGACTGGAGAAGAAGTCTCTTATATCCGGGTTTGGTCTATTTTGTTTAGGTAAGTATGGAAACACTTTGGGACCAGAGAAAATCTCTTATATCCGGGTTACACAGTATTTTAAATATCTTCCTTTCTCACATTACTTAGTATTAGGCTCTATATGCGTCTCCTTAGTAGAGTCTTAGAGGCATGCAACCAAAGGGCATTCAAACCAATGCATGTCACTGGCAAAACAGAATTAGTAAAGCAAGCAGTTGATTATACTAACGGCCTTGGGAAATGTACATATTTACTTCTACCACTCTGTACTATTATTACCAGATATTTAGCTAAAATATCTTATCTTTGGCTATGATTAACTGCAAATGGGGGATGGGTTATAAACCACACACTCTTATCTGCCCAGATTGTATCAGGTTTTATTTTCAATCAACTTTGACAGGTGTAAATATTATAAGTTTTCATATATTAATTAATTTGTAAGAGAGAAAAAAAAAAAAAAAATTATTTCCCTATTTTTTTTTTTTTTTTTAATCCATGTCAGGTCACATACATAACTGACAGTTTTATTTCACTGAGGATAAAATGTAGTAATAAACAGCAAGCAATTGTAATTCTAACAATCATAGATAAAAGACCAGCAGCAACTGTAATCATTTTTTGTATGTGACATGATCTGGTTAACTGAAATTACAACTGGCTGGCTACTGACCCAAAATGAGTGAACTGAAAAATTATTTAGCCAATTAATACTGCAAGTGCCAAATGCGAAAAGAACACTGAAAAAGTAGAGCAGAACTACAACAAGAGAAGCGGTTAACGAGAAAAAGCATGGGAGTAAATAGTAGATCAGAAAGGTGGTACAAAATCAGGCAAAATTAAACAGGGCTCATCCTACAGATCCAACCACACCGAAAAGTGCCTGGAAGATAATTAAATTCTTCCACGATTTAATAGATCAAAACATACTATTCTGGGTTCTTAAAAGCCTTTTTTGAACAATGGCAATTATTTTCAATTGTTGATCGATTGATCCATTTTCTATAGCTTAACCCTTTGCAGGTTATTTAAAGCCAGAATTTTTTTGATAATGTCTTACTAATTAACCTATAGCAGTAGGGAGAAAAGTGGATGTATTTGTGCATAAGTGAAAGACAAGTTCTTGTACAATGACCAAAGTTAAGAAATATAGAGCTTGATCAATAAACACATGGGTAAACACATGAGAATATCAGTTTGGATGTGCAGGTGGTGTAATTGATAATGGCTCAGAAATGGAAAATTGAAGATATGAATTCTAATTCCAGTTTGCTTCATTATATCTAGACAAAAATACCTATAGGAAAAGCATGAATCCACCTCCCTACCTACAGGTTAGTTAGGACTTGCATCATCATTATTACCTAACAATAAAAAAAAAAAAAAAAGTCTTTCTTCTACCAAAGAAAGCTAAAGAGCCAAACATACTTTGCTCTAACTTATGGCTGGCAGGGAAGTGATGGATTCATGCCTTTCTCAAGG